CACATTTAGAAAATAACCTTTGTACTGTAGCCAAAAAACAAAGAAAACCCTGTGCCCCGTCCCCCACCACACCAGCAAAGACTGAGTGGGGAGTTTAGACTTCTACCCTCTCCCATATACCCCGACTCACCCACCAGGGGTTTGTCAAAGGATGAAGAAGGAGCCAGAACTTCATCCTAGCTGGGTAATGAGGCCCCTTTTCTCCATGGTGTCAGTGGAGTCCACGTGGGAAGTCTAGATTTCCACCACCCAGCAGTAATGAGGTGCCTTCTCCCTCCTGCAAGGGTGGTGTCAGATGAGGCCTAAAGGAGAGTCAGAACTTTCACCAGTGCTCCCCAAAACAAGGCCGCTTCCCTGCCCTTCCTTCTCCTTACTGCAGTGTCAGTGGAAGCCACATGAGAAGCTGTAACTCCGACCCCTCCCAGCTAAGGAGGTATCAGTGGAGGCCTGTGGGAGCCACAATGCCCACCTCTACCCAGCTCTAATGAGGAGTTGCTCCTTGGGAGTCTGTAGAGGCTGGGCGCTGGTCATAGGTGCCAGGAAGAAAGTGCTTCCCCTGGGGAACTGAGAAACCAGACAAATGAGCCTGTTTCCCTTTTGTTTTGCTTTCAAGAATCCCAGGGCCAAATGTGGGATACCATGGACCCACACATCTGTGTGTTTACTTCCTCTCAATCTCATGTTCTAATTCACATGTTACCTGACTTGGAATTTGCATTACGTATACTGTGATGTTCTTTGGACTCATCTTGGCTTGGCTATATTCCCTAGTTTTTTAGTCAAAAAGCAATCTAGATGCTGCTATGCAAGTATTTTATAGATGTGATTAAAGTCCACAATCAGTTGACTTTAAAAGAAGATTATTCTAGGGCCGGCCAAGTGGCGCGATGGTTAAGAACTGGCTTGGGATGCCAGAGGGCCCCAGTTTGGATCCTACATATGAGGGCCAGTTACACTGCCCTCCACAGCTAAGATGCTGAACAACAGCTCAACCTGGAGCTGGGCTGCCATGAGTTGCCGGCGACAGCATAGGCTACAGCCCCTGTGGCAGTGGGTTGCCATGGGTTACCGTGTGTAGCCAGCAGCCAGCGTGAGCGGCCAGCAGCCGCAGTGAGCGGCCGTCCAGAAGCCGGCGACTGATCTGCTTTGCCCGGGAAGAGCACAATGATGGTGCCAACTTGGGCCGGTGAAGCAACGTCCTCCACAACTAGACTGAAGAACAAAATGACAGCAACTTGTCTGTTCCTCTTCCCCCAATTCCCCAGCACTGTTCCCATCC